GTACGTCGGTACGGTACGGTCGTCGTGTCGATATATATATATAGTATAGTATATATATATATATATATATATATATATATATATATATATGTAAACATAAATATATATATATGCATATCTATAATATATATATAAATGTATAAATTGTATATGTATATATATATACAATACATTATATATAAATGTATATGCTTTCATATCCATATCCATATATATACACATAAATATATGAATGTTCACATACATATTTCAATATATGTATATATATATCTAATATATGCATACGTATTCCTTCGTTCACTTACATCACTACCTGTACAATAATTATGTAAACAATACTCGCATATTGATTTGTAGATAGATTCTGAAGTATATATATATATATATATATAATATATAATATATATATATACATAATATATATATCTATATTTATATATGTATGTATATATATATATGCATAAATTAATGAAAGAGCATGTATTTCCTCTCGAATTTCATCAAGAAATAAGCAAATTAGTTCCCGTTCACAATGATACGCATGCTTAAACTACAATTAGTAATAAAGGTTAAAAACAGCACGGTTTTGGTTTTATACGCTATTGTGAATTCTAGGCATACAAGCAAAAATATTACAAAAGCGAAGACACGATGGGGCAACATAGTCCAATTTTAAAAATGGAGCTCATTTGCAAAAGACAAATCGTGTAGTGGTTCATGAACGTTTTAATTCTCATAATTGTAGAACCATAATATCGCGAAAACAGTCACAGATTTACTTGTTTGTTACTTACATAGTAGTACATATACGCATTGTTCAAACGCTTGCAACGAACTAAGTACTATCCTCTATTCAAAATAGCGCGCGCGCAGTTTATTTTAGATTTTCTCTGGCTGAACTGCCCTATAAGGAGACATTCTGACTCGCTTCTTGATTATTTACTCTCGAAGCATCAGATACAAACTATTCAAAAGCGCATACTAGTAGCAGATTCTATGCACTATTACTAGTAGTAGCTTCTATGCACTATTACATATTGAGAGCGAGTTAAGGAGTGTGTTTCTGACTTGAATGTATACATATTTTCCACTATTAGATCTTCTACTAGAGAAGTAGGGCATTTGGGCAACAACTGAGGTCTGAGAATTGAGAAACGTATTTTACGTATATAAGTATCATTTTGGACTCCAATATTTGCGCAACCTAAATATGACAATGTCCTACAGATGGCAGTCGTCATGTGTTTTTTAGGTGAGTCACGATATATTTTCATAATATCGGACGTATGCTCCTGATTTTTTGTTCTCAAATTTCAATATAGTTCTAAAAATGACAAAATATTTGAACTGCCGTACACGCCAGTGAGCGTCATATTGTGTTAAGAATGAGACGAAACATTACCTAGATATTCTCGAAATATATTTAGTATTCAAATTTGAAGCCTAATTTGGATTCATTTTCGGTGTACTTGTACAACCCTATTTTTTAATAAAAAAATCCGTTCGTAACTTCTTGCTGCATATGTAGATGTCAACGAATTTTCGATCTGAATTATAAAAAAATGGCGATGCCATATTCCCTACTCTGTTTCGTATTTTACCTAAGTCTATAGATAAAGAGGATTATACAGTGTTTCTTTCTTTTTTTAAACAAAATAGCCTCAGACTTTTTAAGCTCATTATCATTGGCGGTAAGAAAAAGCTTCGATCCAAAGCCAATTGGATTTCTATTTTGCCGGACAAGTGCGATTTCTCCAGGTTCCGAGAGTCCTATGTGGGTATTGGGTAGGCTCAGGTCTGGCTCAGTTGGCCCCGCCCCTCTGTCCTCAATATAAATATATTTTGGAGTGGGTATTGGGTACTGAGTACTGGGTAGTCATCAGTCACACTCTGAGTCTCTGGGGTGTATAGATTTTAGAGAGAAGTATAATTAACTGCACTGTCACTCTACTGTATAGTAGATACTTGTAAAAGAAAATATTGTCGGTATTTGTTGTAGTAAATAAATAAATAAATAAATAGAGTGATAGATTTGGGAAATAGACTACATACGTAGTGGGTTTTTTTAATAATAAAACATGATGTTGGCCATTGCCTGTTTCTCTCTTCTATTTATTCTCTTGCTTCTGTATGGTGTATAAATAATGAGGGCTCCAAAAGTATGTCAGCCTATGTGTCGACTGACGGGCTTGTGACTTGTCAGCAGTTGTTCGGCTATTTATTTATAAACGATTGAAAAAACTTGTCACTTGTTTTTATTTATTTAATTATTTTTCTTGAAAATAAAAGAGGGAACTATACTATTTTTGTATTTTTATACTTCCGAAATCCGATCCCCTGGGAGGCTGGGCCTAGCCCCTGGCGCCTGTGACATTGTCATATTGACTTGACAGCTTTGACTTTTTCAGTTTGTAAATATTTACTTTGTACTATGGTGGAAGCCCGTCCTCACTCCCCAGTAGTTTTGGAACACTAACCCAATTAGATTAGCGATGGCAGTGTCATTTTTATATGCTCTCGGTTTCTATTGACTTATCACTCATCTGCAAACGGAACTTCATCACAAGAATCATCAATAAAGCGGCTGGCACACAGACACGGAGTCACAGAGTGTCACAGACTCGCAGTCCTGCCAAATTACTCATACCAATTTGTTTTTAGAAAATACGCTTTGAACTTATGTACTGTAAATATATGGTTTCCTGAACAATAAGTATTTTTTTATCCAAAAGAAAAAACACATATATGGACTCACTGGACTATGTGACATGCAAAAAATTACGATGCGATGTTGCAGTTGAAGTAAACATTTTGTCGTTTTGAACACAATCGATGACCAGAAGCTGCAAATGATATATCTATTTTTCTATATCAAACGACAGCCACACACAGTCACACACGCGAGAAAATAAATTGATCCTACTTACTCTACTATTTCATATTGAATTGCATTTTATTGTATATATATATATATATATATACATAGGGTCGTTGCAATAAACAACGCTATTGATGAGTTCTACCCACCATATCTGACTTTCAAAAGTACTGTCGCCATATATAGTGAGGTGAACATACATTTCAGACCACAAGCAAGAATATTGTTTTGAGATCATTCCGAACACTGACAGCTACATATACATATATATTAAAAATAACAAAAATGTCAGGGTCCACAGCGCCCACAGCGCCCAATTCACCCATTAACTGGTTTCCACTAGTCTTTATTAGCTCCTTCCACATCGCTTTTCTCTATGGCGCCATATATTATCCCGTTAATAGAACGGGGGTTATATCATGCCTGGTGATGTATCTATTGACTGGACTAGCAGTCACGGTTGGCTACCATCGCTTGTGGAGTCATAGATCATATTCAGCAATTGCGCCATGGCGACTTTGGTGGGCATTCTGGGGCGCAGGCTCACTACAGGGATCTGTTTTGTGGTGGAGCAAGTTGCACCGACTACATCACTCATTCCCAGATACTCCTGCTGATCCATATGGTCCCATGTACGGATTTTGGTACTCTCACTGTGGCTGGCTGCTACGGAGTCCGAACCGAAAGCAGTACCTCGATAAGATCAATGTTAACGACTTGAAAGCGGTAAGTGTCCTCATGGTACACTTTATATGTAAAAATCTACTAGCCCGTTTTGAGATGCAGATAGTTTATTATGTTTTGTTTCAAAACTCACACTTTTTTTTTGTATCATAGGACTGGGTGGTGGCGCTACAACATAAGTTCTATATTCCGCTCAACTTCAGCGTGGCCTTCTTTGTGCCCCTATTGGTCTGGAGAAATGACCCCGTTCAAGCTTTCGTATACGGTGGACTATTTGCTCGTATCTTAACATGGCACTCGACCTGGTTCGTCAATTCACTTGCGCACTGGCTGGGTTCAGACGAATATTCGAATGAAACGTCGGCCAAGGACCACTTTTTGACGGCGTTGCTCACATTCGGAGAAGGAAACCATGGCTTTCATCACGCATTCAGTTTTAGCTACCAGAATGGACTTAAGTGGTAAGTTATTTCATTTATGTGAGGTAGAAACACGTACTTCGATTATGCATGTGCAAAGTATTTAAACAATTGCCTTCGTGTGATTGTAGTTTCTAGTCTACTATACTTACCTTAGATACGTCCACTATACTTGTGTATATACTGTCAATTATTTGCAAATACAGTTAGCTGTGTTGTCCACTAATATGGTTTTTATGCTTCTTTATGTCTTGCTATATTTCGATTGATATTGTGTTTATTGTTCAGTGTACTATACCCACGTATTTATGTGAGAACTATGTATGTAACTGGGCTTCTTATATATGTTAAAAATTTTAAGATATGGTGAGAATAGTGAACTTTAATTTTCGTTTGATTCGCATCATATTTACTGGATTTATTCAGTGCGTATTTTAAGTGTTAGACATGTTGAACCTAATATTAAGCTGGTCCTATTAATACATGGAAGTTGTCCTTGTTATATCGTGCGACACGTCTGTCAAGAAATAATCAGGCGGCCTTCTAATTCTAAAATTGTCACTATTACAGGTTTCATTATGACCCTACCAAGAGCATCATCTTGATCGCGTCTTACTTTGGAATTACTTACAATCTGAAGCATCCCACCGATAATGAAATCCAAAAGGCCAGGTTAGTCACGTGTGTGTATTATAGATGGATTTCACGACTCGTTTAGACAAAAGTTCGTTGAGTGTGCCCGGAATCGCATTTTATCAATTGTACGCAAGGTGTATGCTTTTTGCTGATTTTTTAATTCTGTTTCTTATATATAGGTACCAAGTGAAAGAACGAAAGATCATAGGCATGAAGCAGAGCATTGTATGGCCTGATCCCGCGAGCTTTAAGAATATTATTGCTCTGAAAGATTATGAAAAGGCGAAGGAGGCGGGCAACATCTGGGTGACTATGAATGGATTGTAAGTTCAATTTAATTTTCGAGAATTTATTGGTTTTCGTATTATATCTTCATGAGGGTTGTTACTGTTCCGCTGGTTTAGCCGTTCTGATATATTTTTTCAAACGGAGATCGCGAACGAAGTCTAAACTATTGATTTTCCGACGCGGAATTTTACAGGGTCTACGACATTTCATCATTTGTGTCTCAACATCCCGGAGGCGAGAAGATTCTTGCCGCGATGGGCTCGAAAAAACCCGAATATATCGAACACCAGTTTTCGTTCAAGCATACGCACTCGAAAGCAGCGAGAAATATGCTGGATATGATGATTATAGGAAGACTAGAAGGGGAAGATTCTGATAAACCTCTAGTGACGGATGCAGAAAGAAGCCTAGGCGGACCTACTGTAACTGCGGCGTAACGAAGCACGCCTGCACCCACGTAGAACCGAGATTCTGCACGTACATAAAACTTAGACAACTACATATACAGAGCTGCATTGAAAACGGAGCAGCATGATCTTGCAAGTATAGATCGTATTCGAAATTTAGGAAATAAAATTAACCTCTTTTAATAGAATTTTAAATATCAAACCATGCTTAAAGTAGGGTTGTTTATCATAGCCTTCTGTTCTATTTTCCGTAGGCTATGTATTTATACATAATAAAAGATGTAAAGGCACAATACATTTTATTGTTCATTTTTGATTTACACGTTGACGACTATGCAAGTGTTTGGGTTTTATTTAAGTGCTCGTAGAAAAGTTTTGAAGACAAAGGATGTCAAAAGTGAACACACTTGCAAGCAAGAGGTTTAGGTAACAACGAAGATTTGGAATCTACTGTATCGATCCAAAACAAAAAACTCAAATAGGTATGGCTATATAAATTATGAAGGCAACTCATGTTTGTTCATTTTACCTATAATTATTGTGAAGAAAATACTTGTGTTTGTTCATTTTGTGTTTATTCATTTTGATCATTTTTCACTTTGTTTGTGCATTCTTGACGCACTTATATAAGTTATGAAGACAATGCATTTGTTTGTTTATTCTTTTTTTTGAAATAGCATCACTAAAGTACTTTCAAATTAAAACTACGTCGTCTACAGCACTCTCTTGTGTGTGGCTATATTCATTAGTTTTTTATCCATAGTAGTACTGCAGCTGCATTGACCAGCTTTTCAGTTTTCTGGACTAGTGGAAGAAAAAAAATTGACAACGCTACATATTCATAGCCTATACATACTTTATTTTTTATTTTTCAAACACCATAGCAAATAGTGTAGGTGGCTACATCTGTAGGTGGCTTGTGTAGGTGGCTCTATTTATGGTGGTTTCAAGATTTCTCTAGTAGTAAAAACTATAAATATGTATATACAGTATCATAGCCTCCTAAATTGTACAACAGTACGTAGTAGGCTATGACATTTTTCAATCGCTTGTTTTTTTTTTAAACACCCCATCCATTTACAAAGGGATAAAAATAGGGCCAAAAATAAAGAAGCGTTCTTGATTTACTAAATCTTGACTTCAATTCATTCCCAATATTTTTTTTTTTGGCATATTTCAAGATTAAGTATTTCGTAAATGATCTGTGAAGGCGCCAAGGTCGTAGTACAAGTAGAACGCCTTCTATGCTTAGGAGTCTAACACTACATCGGAAACCTCCAAAACGCGATTATTGGGTCTAAATATGCATAATTAGTCAAGTTTCAAAGTTCTCCCGTACAATTATTGTCAAAACTGTATTGGAGATGTATTCTTATAACCGTATTGCAAGCTACAGCTGCTAAAATCGAGAAAAAGTGTGTTTACGTCATTTGATGTGCCACGCCATCGATTGCACGATGCACGTAAATGGTGATTTTGAGCAAGCATAATAAGCCTTCTATACCGCAAAGATGATTTCTGAACTAATAATACTTGTATTTATTATATATTAGAACCCTTAGAAGGTTCAAACTGCTAATACGCGACTTGAAATCCAAGATTTGACACGGTCGAAAAGTGCACAATCCTGTTCATAAATCGATACATAACTGTATGAACCAGCAGAGCTATCAACTTGGCTCCTTCGCAAAATTATTTTGAAATGTTTTTAGAAAAAGTCTAGAAAATAAAATTGGGAATATATCTAAAACCGGATATAGTGAATTGGGTTTAGTTCTTTAAAATCGAGTCCCCTTAGTCAATGGATCGTGTATATTTAAACCGCATCCGGTACAACTTCATCCGCACTTAAAAACAGCACGGGTTCAGGCGTTAAAAGTTTTATGTTCGTTGGTGCCGTACAGAGACATTCGAACTTTTGAAATTCTTCTTGGCTTCTATCTAAATTCTACGATATTTTTTTGGGCAAGAATACGGCTAAACTCAGCACTGTCAAGTGTCAGCAGTCACGCCTGTCAGCTGTCTCAAGGCCCTCGGGTGGGGTGTTAAAAAACAAACAAACAACGGTCTGTTCTATTTTCCGAAGACTATGGCTTAGCATCATCGATAACATTAGACCTAAGAACATCTCTTTCAGTCTTTCCTTCTCCCTCTCTCTCTCTATCTCTATCTCTATCTCTATCTCTATCTCTATCTCTATCTCTATCTCTATCTCTATCTCTATCTCTATCTCTATCTCTATCTCTATCTCTATCTCTATCTCTATCTCTATCTCTATCTCTATCTCCTTCTGTGTGCGTGTTATGTGTGTGTGAGAGAGAGGGAGAGAGAGGGAGAGAGAATTAGAGAGCGAAAAAGAAAGAGAATTAGAGAGAGAGAAGAAAGAGAGAGAATTAGAGAGAGAGAAAGAGAGAGAATTAAAGTGAGAAAAAGAAATATTATAAATAATAGACACAGAGACAGAGAGGGAGACCTTGATAATCGATATGGAGACAGGAGACTGGAGACTGGAGACTGGAGACTATGTATTAGAGACTGGACTGAGAGGAGACTGGAGAGGGGCAGGGTATTTTCTGCTTTTTTTTTGCACAAAAATGATAGCCATAGATTGATTGATAAATATTTTAGTCTTGAGCGAGCAAATATAAATACAGTCAAATAAATAAATAGGTCCGCCGATCGCCGAATTGTGAAGTTATTTATCGTTCTGAAACTCTTGTAATTACATACGTGCTCGCTTTTTCATCTGTTAGTTGCTGCAGTCATCCAGGCATGCACGGGTGTTCCCACGTATATTAAAGATAGTGATTTTTGTCATTCTCGTATTGTAGATACTTTTGTGTCAGATTATTATTACCAGCTTAATACTGCAACTGCAAGGTTGGGATGATCTATCGTTGCTTGTAGTATCCTATGCCACAGCCGGCTTTTGGCAGATATACGCCTAGTCAAAGTAAATAGTGGGGCACAATCCCATTCCCGCTCAGCAGGATGATCGAGTCTTCGCCACTGAAAAACATATTTATCTCGTATATATGTATGGCCTTGATATGGCTCAGCTCACAGATTGACGGCTTTCCGAGCCATGTCATACTATCCTTAGCGGTAACTACACCACCTACTTACTACCTGCTACTGCAACAAGATGGCGCTGAAAAAAATTCTACACCTCCCGTTCGATCGGCAACTAAGCCTAAGCCTAAGACCGCTTCTAAGATAGACTCTGGTGCTTTATTAGGAAAGAAACTTAAACAAAATACTTCTAAAGGAAATGAGAAAATCACCAGCGAATGCGGAACGCCGGAGTATTCACCGATAAAGACTTGTGGAGAGAAGGATTTTCAACCGGTGGTAAGTGTTTGTCCTCTTATACATAAAAATATACATGCTTAAATGTGAAAAGTCACCTATGTACATAGTTTATTAGATTTTACTGAATGCAGCACTGAATGCAGCACCAAGATCTAAACATGCTGATAGACACTCTAGATGCTTGTCTGCCAATATTTCAATCGGCTCGAAAGATTAACATTTATTATAATACTATTAGAATAGCACGCATACTATTATTCAAACTTAGACGTCCACGTTTGAATGAATTATTATATGCTGCTGGTCACGGAGAATGTATTGTCCCCATATTCGACTCGTGTTTCATATATATATATATATATTAATATATATATATATATATATATATTAATATATATATACATATGTATGTATGTATGTATGTATGTGTGTGTGTATGTAAGTATGTATGTATGTATGTATAT